AGACGCCAAAACAGTAACAGTGTGTTTTAGCAATAGTTATTAAGTTGATATTGCGCATTCCAGTTGATAAAGATTCGAAACTTACAACAGTTGAGAAAAAAGGTGTTTCAATGCATTTCACAAGAGCATGAGGAGCTGGTTAACTTGTAACTTTGTGCTGCCTTACATAGCACCCTTCCGACAGATCTTATTTCGTTAACTGTACTCGTTAACATTGACTATCTGAGAGATGTTGGTACTAGTTCTAATGGGGTAACCATGCATGAACGTTGTTGAGGAGGCCCTTACTCTCTAAACGCTGCGCATTGTTTCGAACGCGTTGCGCTTATTAGCCAGCGATGAGGTGGTTGGACGGCACCGACTGCGTACTCCATCAATTTGATAATCAGAACTCGGGTTGTCAAATACTGCCTTTTTATTGGCTCTGCACATTTAACAATCCCCCAAAGTCGGCCACTGAATGTCGACTTCAGAACTGACATGTTGCGTGCCTTGATCGTAAAGATCCGAAACCCGGTAGTAGTAGTAGTAGTAGTAGTAGTAGTAGTAGTAGTAGATGCGAGTTTGCTGTATCAGCCCTATCCGAAGCAGTTTTTATGGCAAGGGATCTGTCTATGGTCGAAAGGGTCACGCACTTGCCTTGCAGTGCGGAGGTCACCGCTATGAATCCGCTTTGGATCGGGCGACTTCACGGTATACCTAGGTTACGCATGACTGATGGTGGTTGCTTGGTAGCGGTGTCGATACCGTGTGCCGGGTATTGCTGATGCCGTTTTTCCTTTTTCTCTAGTGACGTGGTTAGTGTGAGTGAGGCCACTTACGTGGTAGTTAAGGAGTGAGGACCGGATAAGTAGGATAATTCTTGAAGCGGAACTCGGCCAGGTGAGGGCAGATTTGAGGGGCTGGGGAGGACTGGATTAGTTCGGTGGGTTAACTTTGCGTAGCATACAAACGCTGCTGTTGTCCTCTTTCATAGCTGTTGTGGTGAAACCCAACTGGCACATTCGACGAAAACCTGTCGGTAATTGTTGAAAATTGTCGAAATTAGACGGATTTTGCTAGCGCCCTTGTATTAAACTGGTGTTTAATTCAAAGCGACGCTTCAGTAATCATTTAGATATCCATTCACCGTGAGTGTTTAATTATTTGATTACGGAAGTTCTGTTTAATTAACAACGTATTGATGCCGGCGACAAGAAATGATATTACTAGCGGGTGCGTAGCCTTGCGGAGCGGCGGCTAGTGCTTCATAGCAATAAGCATGTCAGCATCACACAAACTATGTTAAGGAAGGTTTGGCATTGACTATACAGGCTGCACATTGATTGATTGTAACCTGCTCTGCCTCTAGTTAGTTTGCTAAAGTGGTGGAAGTTTTGGTCCACTCCATTTTGCAAATGTAGAGTTTTCGATTACTTTTCGGTCTGATAGTAGCCAAGAGCATTGAATATCGTCGATTCTTGGTCGTCTGCGTCAAGTGGGAAGACATTCTGTATACCATTTTGAGCTACCGAGGTTTCTCATCTGCGGATTGGACCGGTCATTATATATTGTAGTGGCTCGACGTGAAAACTAGCAGATGGCACCAATAATGATGGACGTGAAATTACACTAATACAAAATGCAAGCACCCATACGTTGTGCTGTCGAGAGCTCTACATCGGAAGTGTAATTCAGTCATGTCGGCTTCAATGCTTAGAGGATGGCGAGGACGAGGGAAAACAACTATCCCATTCGTTTTCATACAAGAAACATCATTCTGTGCCAAGCAATAGCTGCCCGAGCAGCTTAAATGGTACAAGTTAATCGCGATGTCTCTATGGTCCAACCCCATCCACTGACCGGATAATATCAACGAAAGTGTTAAATGTGGTGCATTGCACCATGACGAGCAAGCGATTACCTTCACTGCACTTTCGGTAGCATGAGTTCAGAGATTCAATGGCCCGGATCTAGATGGGTTCCAGGAAAGTGAGTGGTGCCGACGAGGGTGGATAGCATGAAATAGTCGCTCATCACCTCCACTGAGAGTGGTCACTATATAGCTGAGTATGAACGTGACAAAAGCACGTGCAGTAATCCTTGTTCACCTTTGTTTTGTGAGCTTATACTGCTATGACAATCACTCGTCAGCGAGAATCCACGTAGCTACTTCGGTATTCACGAGGTCATTTGAATTACGAGAGGGGAGTTGTAGCGAATCGTGTTCCCACAAGAAACCTTTGTTAAATTTCCATTAAATCGAGGTCTGGTGTTGTATAAAAACAATAAGCACACTGAACGAGCTACGGTATAATTTCGTACGTCGAGTCAGTGGAACGATGAAGCAAAGTAAAACAGGTAGAGGGTGACAAGTCCCATGAGATGACTTGGGTGAAATACGGAAGATCAAGGAAAACGCTCCCACCAAGTTAAACTACTTATCCGTGAATTCAACTTGCAATTCATATTTACGTGGATTTATATCCGCCTATCTTGATTTAATGAAGGTTGGGGGGGCAGAGGTTTACGTTTTAATGTCACTCGAAGGACGCGCCTTGTGTCACTTATTGCAACTGGTGAAGCGCACTGTTAAGCATTTGTTTAAAATGGGTGAGGTGGGCACAGAAATGACGTAAGTCAGAAGAGCGCTCCACGGCCGGTAAATTCGGAGTGGAAAGAATTCCGGCGACTCAGCAACCGACTGTATTGCGCGGCCAGCCTCGGGTGGTGCCTCTTAGTCTGATGTTTCGCATAACCCAGCGTGTGCCAAATGTGGGTGCGGATTTATTACGAATTCTGTTGGGTTGAAATGAAGTCATATCGCAGACAATGACAGACTACGCTATGAACTCGTATGGCTTTCAGCCGCAATCAGTAAGGAGGTTAAAACAGCCCTTCATATTCTTAGTTTTCTTTGTTGAAAGGTCTAGCATTCCGTCATATGACGTTTCTTCCAGGGTTGCTAGGCTTGAATTTCGCCCTCCGTATAGGACATTACGTAACAATATGATAGTTGGGGGAAGCTAGAAGAGTCGAGCTGCCCGAACACCCCTCGCAAGAGATCGACGTGTTGCTTCCCGGTTTTTGACTATTTACTACCTGCTTTGAACATCCTAGGTCATCCCGAATTACAACGCCAAGGTCGTGCGGCGGCTTAAAAGATGTGGTCTTCCACTAAATATGTGCCAATTGGCTGATGGCGTAGGTGATGCACTTTGCACTTAACCGCGCTAAAGGAGAGTAAATTCAACTTTTAACATTCAGGAACACAGTCTAAGTCTCATTGGTGCAAATCATGATATTCCTGATTATCCTAAGTTCATCGGCGAAAAGCAAGAAATTTGACTCGGTGACGTATGAGGTCGTTAGCAATGACGAGAAGACTGTTTTGCACATCAGTTGGATCAAATAATTAGCCCCAAGTCCCCAACTGCATCCGCTACTGAAGAAGGAAGCTCTCGAGCCATCTATGGACTGGGTTCCTAGGTCCGTAGCTGTACAACTTATGAAGAAGGATGCGGGGATCCAGGTGGGAAAGTCAATGTAGACAATAACGGTTTTGTTTCTAGTATTCGCTTTTTCGCTCCAACTAGCAAAAGCTGTCGATAGAAGCTTTTCGCTCCGATGCTATAATGCTACATCCTTCTAAATAACTCATGAAAACCACGACAATGAGCGCTTCCAGTATCTTTGGGAACATCAGGAGGAGAATCACAGGACGGTATTTTACTGGTCCTGAACAGATAACACCCTTACAAATCGGGATACTGATACGCAGTTTCCACATGGCAGAGACTTGCTGTTCATCCAAGCAACTTTAAAAGAATCGACCTAATGCCTGGACTAACCCCGCAGCGGCCACGTCCAGCGGTCTAGGGAGAATTTTACTAACAACGGGGAATTATGGATGCGCGATAGTAGCAGTTTCCGCAATACAGTTGCTGAACTAAAGGTGACGTGGGTAAGTCGTTGCATTTTTGGAACTAAGGAAAATATGTGATGCGAGATTGTAGCCCCTTGGAATATGCAGCGAATTATGACCGTAAAGCATTGTTCGCATCCTCGGCGCTTTGAGTACGTCCGTCTTCGGATACGAGTGGAGGAACTTCACACTTAACCTTTCGGCGTATGTTCAAATGTTCATAAAGTGGCACATTGTTGATAGAAAACCTTCTTATGCACTGCCGGTGTCATCACGGACAATTGTGGTACATTGAATACGCTTATGTATGTACATTAGTTAATAATTATTATTTGTTATGTATGTACGTACGTCAATTTGAATTCCTTGCTATTGCGGATTTTTGAATACTGCTTTTAATGAAGGAAGGTGTCTTTGTAGACTGAAGACGCATCCAGTACAGTTGTTACAGTAGCCAAGATGCGCAGTTTCATTGCTCGATAGTGTGATATGGCGAGTTGATGTGTTGGCCAAAGGAGAAAGCAACACGTCGAATGTCTCTCGCGTACATTGTGCCAGTGAGTAGCTCAAGTAAGGTCGGTTCAGGAATAAACAAACGAAGCATAGTTCGACGATGGGGCATATTGGGGTGTTCAGTTCAGATATAGCGGAGAGTAATAAAAACAAGTCCGTCCGATGGCTAACTGTAAATCCGACCACCTAGGTCAGTCCCATAATATACACATGGACCCCATTCCCTAAATAAAATGGAAGAAATAGACACATAAAAGATTCGAGCGGCTGGGTCGGAGCCGACTCACACTCGTTCAGTATGCACAGCAACAATTAAAATTATAGGGGATGAGTGCTATCCCTATCCAGCGTATGCAGGACCAGGTCAGTGAGCTTAGCCTATTTGCCAGGATGTGAACACATTGCTGCCGGTGACTGCTGGTAGTATGTTGAAGCTTGTAATCGATGTGGCGGCTCCAGAATAGTAGGCATCTTGTTAGTATTCGCATCCGGCGTAGCACATATCGTTCCTTCAAATAAAGCCAAAGTGATAAGACAATACACAATACACACCTCGTCAGTATCGGCACAGCACAGGACTTACCTACAAATTGATTTTGATCTTTGTATCTTTGGCGCTTCTCTTTTGACGAAACAGACCCATGGCGATATAGATTAATGGTAATAATCGATATTTCTGGAAGGTTACTGGAGAAGAGATAAAGGTATTAACAGTTGACCTTTCCAGTAATGGTAAGTACGGCGACAGAATTGCAAAGTTTCGATTACTAGGCAAAGCACTTTGGGGTACCACCAGCGTGAAAACACGAAAAGTGTTCAGATGCTGGTGGGTTGACAAATTTGAGGAGTAAACAGCCAGTTGTCTCTTGTCAGTGATGATTGTTGAATCCTTAGAATATACATCAATGGTTATGAAACTGGTGAAAGCGAAAGCATCAACAGCTGATCTGAATGTAACGTTTAGGCTTAACACACAATGGAAATTGATAAATATTTCCGTATTGATAATTCAAGACTTCATAAATTGTATTCTCCATTGCAAGTGACCAGCCTAAAAGAGAAGTGTGGTGCTAGAGGATTTTTACATTTATTATAATGGGTATTTGTCAACAGAACGGAAAATACTTTTACAAAGCAATTTGGCATCTGAGGGACTCACTTGAGCTCAAACTTCTCACCCCAAAACACTGTACCATTCGACTGTTTGCTAGTCGTCCTTGCATACAGTGTGCGATCCAGACAAAGCTCACAAAAATATCTATTATGGGGCGATAAAACAGGTGAGAGATATTCTGTAAATACAACTAAATGTGAAATATAGTCTGATAAGTATCAAACAAATGCCATACGCGTGCGGTATATCAGTATTTGGTGAGAAAGTCAACCTAATAAAAATTACATACTGGTCGAGTCGACAAAGCTTAAGCTAAGAAGACAAATAGCAAACTGCTAAATAACGGGATAGAGAAGTCAGCGAGTGAGTAATCTGTATTTACCTATCTGATAGATCACTCCATTAATTAATTAATTAATCAACCGGGTAAGTTAGCAGGTAACTAAAGTAAATATTTAAGGAAACAAGCAAATAAGTAAGAAAGTAAATGATTGAGTTGGTGGGTAAATAAATAAGTACGTAACTATCTCGATAGATGAATTAGGTTTCCGGTTGCTGATCGGTCATAAGTACAGAGTCAGTGACATCCTTTACACATTTTCTATCGTAGCTCAAAGGTTATTAAATTCGATTGTCATTTCAGCTTCATAATCTGGCGGAACATTGGGCTATTTTCTATCAGCGCTGTCCAGGCGGGAGTCAAATGCCAGCAGTATGAAAGCAAGGGGTCATCACACCCATTCATACAGGCGGTAGCCGCACTAACCTAACCATTTACCGTCCGCTAACGTTGCCTCCCGTGCTTTCCAAACTGATAGAAACAATCATCGCGGGTGCACTGATGCAGTATTTGGAAAACCACAGTATAATAGCCCCGGAGCAACATGGTCTGCGACAAAACTGCTCATACGATTTGTACAGGTTAATTGGACTCAGTAGCTAAACGGAATCAGCTGATGATGGAACAGAAGTCGATGTCATCCACCTGGATTTCTCAAAAAGTGTTTGATCGCTCAGACCAAAGAATAATCCTCTATAAACCGTCAATCTATGGCACTGTGACTCAATCCTGCTTCCGATAGGCAATTTGTTGCAGAAACGTCAGTTGAAAGTGAGCATACGAGAATCCTTATCCGACGCAATTAGGATGGAGTCTGGTATAGACCAAGACTCGGTGCGGGGACCCCGTCTACTCTAAATTTTCATAAATGATCTAGCGGGGATAATCACTTCCGATTTCCTATTCCTCGATGATATCAAGATATGGCTAGCGATTAGTGAGCCGGACGACCACGAAAAGCTCCAACGTGACTTCAACATGTTTTCGAACTGGTCAGTACAAAATATCCTACCATTCAATTTCGACACGTGCTGCGTTGTTTAACTACGCCGTAGACATGAGTATGTATATTGGCTCGGGTCACACATATTGCAAACTACTTCCAAGAAACGAGACCTTAGTGTGGTCATACAAAGTGACCTCAATTATACAAAACAGCCTGAGGCAGCTGCGAAAATAGGCAACTAACTCGTCGGCTTGCTGCGGAGCGCATTCGGGAGTTTTGACCGATCCATCTTTCCGATGATGCACAACTACATGCGCCCTCATATTAAATGCGCTATCCAAGCTTGGCAACCCTAATTGAAGCGTAATCTGGAGATGCTAAGATACCACAACGCATAGCAACAACGATTGTCAAAGGTCTACGTAATCCGTCTAATCATCAAAGACTGAAATCACTTGGAGTTTTCAGCGGACGCTAAGGAAGGCTGCGCGGCGATCTCATATTAGTTTACCAATACTGAGTGAATCTGATCACCTATGCCGGCATTTGATCAAACGCAGCCATAACATCAACCTCAGAGGTAACTGCATATAACTGAGTGAACAATACAACCGACTGGAATGCCGACGGAATTATTTTGCTCTCCGGGTTTGCCAACCCTGGAACTCTCTCCCATAATCAGTTGTTTCCTCCTCCATTTTGGATATTTCCAAAAAGCGATTGGATCTTGCCCTTCGTCCCCATCACTCTGTTGCCAAAGCTGCGCTACTTTGGAATATATTAATCATGCCTTCCAACCGGATTTAGGTGTCACATAGACCTCAGGAGGGGTAATGCGCTCACGGAGTACATTAGCTATAATTGCCCCCAGGTTATCTTTTTGTTTGCTTCCAATTCTCATTCGGCACTATTGTTACTCAGCGGCGCGTTTGCTCCATAGGCGCTTAAACAGAAAACTTATGTATGTTTTGATATGGTGGTTTTACTCCTGCAATTCTATTGGATTTGTCATACAACTGCTTTTTTATCCGTGATAAATCAGTGTTTATTGTTCATTGAATTTCAGAGAAATTCAGCTCCCTCTGCGGTTGCTTTTCTGGTGCCCAAGTACACGTTAATGCAGTCAGATGCCCAGTGTTTCTCAAAAGTGACTTCCAAGTTCGCAAACACCAACGTTTAAGAGAAAGACTAAGTATATGAAGGAGGAAAAGTAGATAGCAAAGGCACAAGTTTTTCTCCACGTGCAAGCATAGGATGCCAACAAGTAAATGTCAGTTTTCATGATGAACGTTTAGGTAAACATTTTATTGTCGTCATATAACTGGATCCGCAAGTTGCGGTAAAGCCGTTAAAATAAATGGAAAAACGCAGTTTCAAATCCTCCAGGTTTCGTACAAAGAATAACATTCCGGTGAACACGGAAAACTTACATGTCCTAAAAGTTTAGGATGCATAGGCGAGTTCAATAAATGCTTTTTCTTGTTGTATCTGTGTCATAATACGTGTGATTTTTGGGTGAATGCAATAAAAAGATTAGATGCTCACCTTGCTCAAGCAAGTAAAAATTATACTGAGGTTGCAACTTTAAAGGTTGATTTGTAGTAAATTAGAACAACTTCCAGTTACATAATCGCCGCATCTTTCATCTACATAGACAATGCGGAGTAAAAAACTAAAGACGAGAAGTCAATCAGAACGATTTGATATAGTCAGCGCACTTAGATTCATGGAGCAATTTCAAAAGATCATTGATGTAACTCCAAGAAATGCGATGAGGCCAGTTTCGGAAGAACTCAACTTCCAGGTAGAAAGATCCAAGTATGTTGTCCATAGATTCATAAGTTATCAGGTTTCTGTGATGAGAAAAGGATAGTTGGTGTCGAAAAAGAGCCAAAGAAAAGCAACTTGAAGGTCGTTTTGAAACATTCGTTAAATGAATGAACTGCGACTCGCAATCTCAATGTGGACCAGGTAAGCAACACTAGATTTTCAGCTAATTCATTAGTTACGGTCCCAGTGGTCGAACTGACTGAGCCTCATTTCAATGCGAATCTCACAGTCCACATTGAGACCGTGCGTCGCAATCCATTCACATTACTAGTGATTCAAAATGATCCTCTTTTACCGTTGCGACAAGCGCTGCCTGTCCTAACCAGGCGGCTAAAGGGGTAGAGGTACTAACTAACACCCCATTGGTTCCGGGTTTAGTTCCTGCTATCTCAAGCTGATGAGAATGAAAAAAGGTCGTAATGTGGAGTGCAGTGTTTTCGGGCAGGCAACACAAAAAGGGAATCCTTTACTCAAACACTTAACGAACCATAACAGACTTTGAGGCTCAGAACCCAAACTTCGAATACGATAAATATTTGAACGAACAAAGTTGCTGAGGTTTCGAAAGTTATACGCACGAAATCTCTTATGAATGTCAAGAAAATTACCACTGATGGAGGCCACATTATTCCTCTTAAATTCCTTCCCTTAAGCCATAGAACTAAAACAACCACGTAAGCTGACATTCCGGAAACTACTTTTAGCTTTGTATTGACTGTATACGTCATGGAAGACATTGTACACTTCAAAAAGACTCGGAGCCGTCACACAAACCTCAAATGGCGCAGGGGTGGATGGCTGCGAGTTTTCACAGCCTCACAGCCCATAACAGTTTGCTGTTTTCCTTCTCAGCCCCCGATCCATCGCTTCACTACGTGTGTAACATGATTCAGGGAGAAGTCAGTGAACGCTCTATCACATCAAAGACTCTTTGAAATCCACCATTTAACAGTAATGATTAATATGAACCGGATTACTGCATTCAAGTAAGTAGATGACTGAGATATCTTATCGAAACCATTTTTGAAGCCGAAGTTGATTTCAGTGAATACAATTATAAAGAATACGTATCAATATCTTCGTGATAATATTCATTGTCAACAAAGCTATTCCCCACTGCATACTTTTCTGTCTCTTGATGTGTACAAATCTGTCCGCAGCCACCTTGTTCACCCTTAATATTTCACAATGAAGGACTCATTGATTCGTAGTTTTGTTAGGGGCAATGAAACGTTGGGATCAATTTTGCGAGTATGTGGGACCCTTTTTCATAAGGAAATGTCCATGAAAGCACTGTATCCGAGAATTGTGTCGAGCGGGGCCCGAGTGACAGAGGGATAAAAGGTAGTGTTTATGTTCATGCTTCGTATGTGCTCACCACCGCTGGGGTACATTTAAGAAACACTTAAGGCAATTTTATCACTACCGGGATCTCAAACTAAGGGTAAGAAGTGCAACGTAGGATTCTCGATTATCAAAATCAATCCCGCTTAAGGCTGACCTAGACTGATGCATGAATCGGACAGTCACGGAAGAATGTTGCGCTGATATGCGGAGGATGTGTTATCATTTTGTGCGTACAGGTAGATGGAGTGTGGATTGATAACTCAAGTCGAGAAGAGGGGGACGCATTCGCAGTCACTGCTATGGTGATGCCTACGGCTGTAGCACTGATAGACAGCGTTTACATGTTGAAGTGTTCCCAGAGCTAGGTGTTCATCTGCTCTTGCTGATTCAGTTTGGCAGGATAAAGCGCTTATCCTTGAAGGACCGGCTGTCGCGACACATTACATCACGATGATCACAGCGTAGTTGACGAATCCTACCGGTCAGAGCGGCGGTCATCAATGCATTACTTCTGAAGTGTATTCGGTGTTGCTGTCTTCCTACACCACTACTGTTTTAAACGGCCGTGCCACTGTTAACGGTACCGTTTGTAAAACGGCGGTTTCGCGAACCGGCTCTGAAAAAAGATCGTGACATCGTGGACTAACAAACGACCGGAATAACGTTCTCATGGTCGATGAA